ATTCTTACAGAAGAGTCTATAAAAAACATAACTCTTGAAGAAATTGATAAGGTACTGCAGAGCAATGGGAAATGCCTTTCTGATTATCCGTCAATGCCACGCATCAATAGTGAAACTTTGCTTAATATGCAAAATCGATTAGTGTTGGATGAATTAATGTATGACAGATTTGCTTTGGAAGAGGAGCATAAAAGACTAATTAATTCCCTCACTGATGAGCAGAAAGCTGTTTATGATAAAATTGTTTCAGCAGTTACGGCAGGTAATGGAGGGTTATTTTTCCTATACGGGTTCGGTGGTACACGAAAAACATTTATTTAGAATACTCTTTCAGCATCTATTAGATCAAAAGCTGGAATTGTACTTAATGTTGCTTCTAGCGGAATTGCTTCCCTTCTGCTTCCTGGAGGACGAACAGCGCATTCTAGATTTCGTATTCCTATTCAAATCAATGAAGATTCAACGTGTAATATAAGGCCGAAATCTACTATAGCTGAGTTGCTGTCAAAAACAAAGTTAATCATTTGGGATGAAGCTCCAATGGTACATAGATTTTGCTTTGAGGCTCTGTATAGGACACTGAGAGATGTTCTTAGAATTTCTGATACAAGCTGTGTTGATATGCCATTTGGTGGAAAAGTTGTTGTTCTAGGAGGTGACTTTCGGCAAATATTACCTGTCATTCCTTATGGCAGCAGACAAGATATAGTTCATGCAACCATCAATTCTTCTCATCTATGGTCCCATTGTCATTTATTAACTTTGACCAAGAACATGCGTCTTAATTCTGGAAGTAGCGCTCACAATTTAGAGGAAATAAAAGAATTTTCTGAGTGGATACTTAAAGTTGGGGATGGTAATCTTGGAGATGATGTTGATGGAGAATCTATTATAACAATTCCAGATGAATTGTTGATTAGAGAATCGAAAGATCCGCTGTCGGATATGGTTAATTTTTTTTATCCGAATCTCTTGGATAATATTTTGGATCAGACCTTCTTTAAAGAACGTGCTATTCTAACTCCTAAATTGTCCGATGTTGCTATGCTAAACGAGCACCTAACGTCTATGATTCCTGGTGAAGAAAGGACTTTTTTGAGTTCGGATAAAATTCTTAAGCAAGGTGGGACTTCCTCTGTTGAGGATGATGAAATCACCCCTGAGATCTTAAATACATTATCATGCTCAGGGATTCCTGATAATAAATTAATCTTGAAAGTTAAAGTTCCAGTAATGCTATTAAGAAATATCGATCAGTCGAGAGGTTTATGCAATGGCACGAGATTGCTTATTACAAAATTAGGAAATCATGTTGTTGAGGCAATTGTACTTACAGGAAGCAATATAGGGGAAACTGTGTTAATCCCTAGAATGACGATGAGCCCATCGAGTCATACATTTCCTGTAAATTTCCAAAGAAGACAATTCCCCCTGATTGTATCATTTGCCATGACTATCAACAAGAGTCAAGGACAATAACTTTCACATGTTGCAATTTATCTCCCTAAGCCTATCTTCACTCATGGGCAATTATATGTGGCACTGTCTAGAGTAAAGAGTAAGCATGGATTGAAGATATTGATACTTGATGAAAATGGCTGCGTTACGAATAGTACCCTTAATATAGTTTACAAGGAAGTATTTCAAAGACTGCTATAGTATATTGGGTTCTTTCTTCAAAGATATAACTTCGTTGTATGGTACAGGTAAAGACAAAAAAAATGATTGTTTATTCGCGTCTCTTTTCCTTATCTATCTTCAAAGATATGACCTTTATTATCCTATTTTCTTTCCTATTTTTAATGTAACAATGAATGACTATTTTGTTATTTAAAAAAATGACTGTTTGGGACCTTTGAAATACTGACAAAATGAGTTCGGCCCGGAGGGCCGACCCACCATGCCAAACAAACCAATTTTTTTTCTCGTGCATCGGCACGGGTAATTCACTAGTATTGTTAAAAGATGAAACCTTCAAATACAATTGTTATTTATTAGGCTTTTGCATTTGTCATGTTGCATAACAAATGTAAAGTTTCCTACACATACATCGATATTTGTGCTGCATTTTCTTTTCTTTTTTATTTTAAATTTGGTGGACCCCACATTTATTGTCTCTATAGCATGACAAGAGAATTATCCTACAACACAATACTTATTTTTTCCTATTTATTAACATTAAATGTTAAAATGATTATGATTTTCTGGGCATTGTCTCTATAGCATAACATTAAATGTTTTGAATTTTTTTTTTTATTAACTTAGAAACATCGTCGTTCAATCTCTCTCAGCGACTAAGAGTACGGCTTCAAAAGCCATCTTTTTATTAGAACAGCGAATGTATTTGGCTTTGATATCGGAAGAAAGATAAGACTAATCCCTTTGTCCAGGATTTGAACTCATGATCAAAAAACACTCATGAGAGCTCAGTTGTCAACGAACCAAATGTTTTGCACATTCTTTATGCATTCAACATTTCGTATTTATTTTATGAAATAAGTTTAACATTAAAAAAAATATTGGCTCTTAGGTCTGTAAAAAAATTTCATTCAAGCCACTACCCCAACAAACCTTTCAGCACAACCCAAGTAAGCGGTTTTAGCCCCTTTCATCCATGGCCAAGAAATTCGGGCCGTCCAATTTTAATGAAGGTAATTCAGCCCAAGCCGAATTTGGCATCCTCGTGGAACTTCGTAAGTCAACAGTAGCAGTGTAACATCGTCTCAACCAGTGTTTAAAAACCCGGCCGGCCATCGACCCGGCCGAGGTCGGGAGTTATAGGGTCACGGGTCCAACTGGGGGGTTACAGGGTCACTACGCTGACCCGATTTTATATATTAAAAAAATCTAAAAATATATATTTTATATGAAAATATTAAAAAATAAACCACCAATCATCAAAGATTCAAAATATACTTAACATAATTCATCAATTACAACAACAAGTTAATGGGATCACTATGCTGATCCGGTTCTGCCTCTTTTGAGAAGGTCTCTAACAAAGAAAAATTTAAAAAAAGAAAAAATGAGTTTTTGTTTTTCATCGACGACCATAAAGATTTTATTTTAATTGATAAATTTTTACCTTTTCTAGAAGATTTATGGCAGCGAGGTGAAGATTGAAGACGTCTAGGTCGCGGGGAGAGAATAGAACGATAAGATTTAAGTTTGCAAGAATTTTTATTTTATTTTTTTAATAAAATAATGTTGTTTCATGAAAAAAAATTTAAAAAAAAAAAAAACATGCAATGACCCCCTTCGACCCCTCTGACCTGGGAGCCACTGAAACCCAGCTGAATTTTGGGGGTCAGAGAGGTCGATGTGCATATAAGGTCCAACTTGTGACCCCAACTCTCAGAGAGGAGGGGTCAGGGTTGACCCGAGTCAACCCGAGAGATGCGGTAAGATTTTTAAACACCGGTCTCAACCACCATTTGGATTGTAAATTGCTTTGCTAGCATCTTATGTACACAAGAGTGGATAATTTTTCTATTTCCAGTTATTATTTTTTATTTAATTTACTAATCAGTAAAAATTAATTTTTTTGATATAATAGTGGAATCTCGTATAAGAAAATTACATGAAAGAAAGAAAAAATATGGAAGCAAAGTATAAACCAACTAACTCACTTAAAAGTTCTCAAAGGCTTATTATATTAAGGTGTGCAAAGATAAATTACTTTAATTACTTCAAATTGTTGGGAATGGTACTGAGAGTGCAAAACCGTTTGGGAGGAATGGCATTTATCAATTGGTCAAATGGCAACTGACATCAGAGTTTAATTCAAAATATTATATTTTAATCTAAAATCTTAAGATAGTCCGTTAACGAGTTTTTTTTGCACTTATATATTATTCATTCGGTTTATGTCTAACTGATATAGGACTTCTTTACCACTCACACTTAAATATTTTTAACACAAATTTAATTTTAGTTAAAATTAATTTCATAAAATCAAGATAAATGATAAATATTATGAGATAGATTATTTTACTTACTTTTTTTCATACCTACCTTGCCTACTAATTTTCAACACTGTTAGATCAAAATATAAAGAGAAGAGAGATAAATGATAAATGTTAGTTGAAGATTGTAGGTAAAGTAGACATTATAAATATTATCGGATAGATTATTCTACTTACTTTTTTTCATACCTATCTTGCCTACTAATTTTTAATACCGTTAGATTAGAATATAAAGAGAAGAGATAAATGATAAAGATTAGTGGAAGATTGTAGATAAAGTAGGTATTAAAAAAAGGTAAAATACATATCTCAAATATCACACAGCTTTTAAAAAACTGAGAAAAAACAATAGCGTAGTGATTGTAGTAATTACGAGTATTTAAATAAAAAAATTTCAGTTTAATATAATTATTTTTAATTTAAAGGCAATGTTATATAGTTCTATTGTAATCTATTGCTCAACAATAAATTTTAGAAAAAATTAATGAAAAGGACCACTAATACTATAAAATGTAAGGTTAGGTTATTCTCACACATGGTATAAAAATAAGAAATATTTTCATTAAAATAAATAAATAAATAAATAAGTCTTGGTTACGAATATATTTGCATCTAACGGTTCACATATCTAATAAATCAGAGTCGGTAGATATAAATAGGATTAACAATCAAAATTACTAGTTATACCAGTATAAAATGATGTAATCTTAAAATGAATGAAATAGACAATTAATTATTCTGAATGGCTAATCAATTATTTTTAGTGGTTATTATCATTACAAAAATAGTTATTAATCTTAGATTTAATAATGTATTATTGGTGGTGTTTTTCACTAATTTCCCCTAATATTTTAAGTTTTGATTCATAATTCACAACAAATTTAGTACGGGGGAAGTGGGAGCCTTAATGGTTTATGTTATATGTTACATCGGTAACATCACCACCATTCCAACACTCTTTTACCCACCACTCTGCCAGTTAATTATAGAGGTGGCAAAATGGGTTGAACCCAACGGGTCAACCCGCCAACCCGTCAAAACGGGGCGGGGCGGGTTATATATCTTGACCCATCAACCCGCCCCGCTTATAAGCGGGTTTAAACGGGTTATGGGCGGGGCGGGGCGGGTTAACCCGCGGGTTTTTGATTTTTTTTATCACAAGTTCATAACCCAACACGGCAACACCTCATCACCACTCATGAAGACCTAAGTGAAAAACAACCCTCACACTCACAGCACCGCGTTTCTGTTTTCTCTTTTGTCTCTCTCTCTCTCTCACAGTTCCATCCAAGCTGGTACCTTTCAAAATTCAAACCTTTGGCTTTCATATGATTTTATGTGAACTTCATCGTTGTTCTCTCTATTTTTTAATTTTCCTTTCTTTGCACTACTCCTTTTTTCTTTTTTAAGTTCAGATCCCTAATTTTTTTTGAAAGTTCAGATCCCTAACTTTAATTTTTTTTTCCTATTTGTCTATAGGATTTTGACTACCCCTTAAGAGTTGTTTCTACTTTCTAAAGGGTTTGGAGATTGCAATCTTCGGAGGCGTCGAGAATCAGTGTTTTGAAAGGTCTGTATTCTGTTATTCTGAATCCAAGCATTGATATTTAGTTATTTACCTTAAAATTTCGAATCTTGGTTCTGCATGCTTTTTCCTTAAAAGTTCATAAAAAAACCTGCTCGAGTATTGTTAAAGATTTATCTGTCAAATAGTGTCATTTTGTTGCGATGGGTTAAAGCATATCTGTTTATAAAATGTTCAGTCACTGTCTAAACATAGGCTACAAAATATCATCAAAATAGATAACAAATTTGCGTGGCTAATGAATACCATTATTGCAAACCGTGTGTGCTTCAATGATATATTCTGTACATGGTTGTGATTTAGTTATTTGTTGTCTAAGAATAATCAAAAGTGTATACACACGTCATGATTCAATTTGCAGCATCTTGGATATTGCTTATCGAGCACCAATAAATCAATTTTCATGTTTATATAAACTATTCACCAATTGTACGATCACAATAATAATAATATATTATGTCAATAGATTCTTTGGGTGGAAAAGTTTGTCATATGTGATTCTTGCAACTAGTACGGGTCCTTCCTAGGATGTGAAAAAAATTAAATGAATCGAGCTGAATTGTGAATTGATATGATGAACCTTGAATTTTTTTTACTTTTTTTTACATTTTTTAACCAGATCAAGAATCAAATCATTTTTCTTTAAATTGGTTTAAGATTCTAATCATATTTTCAAAACATGAAACGAATTTTCAAAATCGGTTTAATTTGTCCGAACCAAACCAATTTTTTACTATGTTAACTATATTTTGGGTATCATACTGGTGGATTTTAGATCTCTTCAATGATATTTTTTCCTTCTAATTTGTGAGTTATTGTACAATTCAAGGATTCAAAAAAGTCCGTAGACTATGTTACTATGTTAACTATATTTTGGGAGCTGATGTTTTTTTTTAACTATACCATTATTGCAAATATTTTTTTTTACTGAGAGGATGAATTCACATCTTGAAGTACAACTAAGGCTCTAATACTGATGTTTGAATTCACATTTCTTATACTTATAATCTAATGAATGCTATGGCAGAGTTCATATTGTGCTGCAAATGGAATCAATTAATAACACTATGGATGATGATGCTGAAAAATTAGACATTGAGATTGAAGAAGAATCTGTATCAGTTCAACCATCTACAAAAAAAAGCCAAGTCAACAACATCAGAGTGCTGGAAATATTTCACAAACATAGGACCGGGCAAAGATGGAATTGATAGGGCAAGATGCAATGCTTGTAAGAAAGAGTACAAAGTGGGTGGAAAGCAATATGGTACTTCAAGTTTAAACCGTCACCTCGATAAGTGCAAACAAGTAAAATTTGAAGATGTTGGTCAAGTCATGATAGATATGCAAGGCAAACTAAAGTCTATGAAAATAGATCAAGGCATCTCACGTGAAATGTATGCTGAAGCAATTATTGAACACGGTATGCCCTTTAAGTTTGCTGAGTATAGGAAGTTTAGGCGTTGGCATTCTTACATATGTCCTGATTTGATTCACATTTCAAGAAATACTCTTAAAAAGGATGTCTGCAGTGCTTTCATGAAAGAGAAGGAGAAGCTTAAAAACATATTGGCTAGCATACGTAATAGGATATGCTTAACTTCAGATTTATGGACAGCCCATAACGGTAATGGTTACATATGTTTAACCGCTCATTATGTTGATGCAAAATGGAAGCTAAACAGCAAAATTCTCAACTTCTGTCACATGCCTCCTCCTCACACTGGTTTTGAGTTGTCACAACAAATACTTGATATGTTGAAAGACTGGGAAATAGAGAAGAAAATCTTTAGTATTACTTTGGACAATGCATCTGCCAATGACACTATGGTCAATCTTTTGAGAACTCAACTCAATATGCAAAATTGGTTGTTATGTGATGGAGCTTTTTTTCATGTGCGTTGTTCTGCACACATATTGAATTTAATTGTTCAGGAAGGACTTAAAGTTGCTACTGATGCTTTGTACAAAATCAGAGAGAGTGTCAGATATGTAAGGAGTTCAGAAATTAGAATGAACAAATTTAAAGAATGCATTGAACAAGTTGGTGATGTTAACACTTCAATTGGGTTACGTTTAGATGTGGCTACCAGATGGAATTCCACTTATTTGATGCTTGACAGTGCTCTCAGATATCAACGTGTGTTTACAATTCTCCAATTGAATGATAGAAATTATAAAGATTGTCCTTCAACAGATGATTGGAAAATAGGAGAGAAAATTTGTCGGTTCTTGCAGCCATTTTTTGAGATAACCAATTTGATTTCTGGCACTTCTTATCCTACTTCCAACTTGTATTTTTTGCAAGTTTGGAAAATTCAATGTGTTCTAATTCGTATGATAAATGATGAAGATGAAGTTGTAAAGAGCATGGCTGAGAGGATGATGGTGAAGTTTGATAAATATTGGAAAGAGTATAGTGTTGTGCTTGCACTAGGAGCGGTTCTTGACCCTCGTGTGAAGTTTGCTACATTATCTTATTGTTTTTCCAAGATTGATGCTAGTATATCTGAAGAAAAAATAGAAAATATAAAGATAAAGTTGTACGATCTCTTTGAGAACTATGCAAGCACCAATTCTTTCAATGTGAATGTTCAAGGTGATGTTAACTCTCAAGCTTCAAGCAAAGGGTCAAAAGATAATAAGGGGTGGTCTGATGAATTCTTTGATGTAAGTTTATGTATATTTTAACATGATAATTTAGTTACTTTATATCGTGCATTTTTTTTAAACTTTATCATATTTTAATTTTCATGTGTTTTTACTTGTTATGTGATAGGAAATGAAAATGCACAATCATCGCCTTGCAATTAATGCTGGAAAGTCTGAACTTGATGTTTATTTGGATGAACCTGCATTGGTTTTTACACATTGGGAAAGTTTAGATACATTGCAATGGTGGAAGGATAATAGTGGTCGCTTCCCGGATCTCTCAATAATGGCGCGTGACTTGTTAAGCATTCCCATAAGCACTGTAGCATCTGAATCTGCATTTAGCATTGGGGGACGCGTCTTTAACAAATATAGAAGTAGCATGGTATCAAAGAATGTCTCAGCTTTGATTTGTACCCGTAATTGGTTGACTGGTTTTGATAGTGAAGGTAATTTATTTAATTTAAATAAAATTATAATTTTATTTTAATTCATGGTTGTTTGTCAATTTTACTCTTCCACTTTTGATTTTTTTTTTTTTTGTAGATGAAATTGAAAGTGAAAATGACGATGACGACGATCATGGCATTGGCAACAAGATTTCCAACGCAGGAGCTTCTTCTAAAAGAGCATCTAATGTTATTGAATGTTGATCTGGAAGCAAATTGTGATTTGTGTTAATGTTGTTGAATTATTTAGAATTTGTAAACCTTATTTAAAATTATCAAATTGTTGAAGGATGTGTTGTTATGGGTTCTGGTTATGGTGCTATTTTGGCATCTGTTGCATTGTGTATTAAAAGAGCCTACCACCATTTTGCAGTATGCTGTTTAGAAATAGTAGGTGGTGAGTTTTAAACTGGGCGAAGCACTTATTGGTCATTTTGCAATTACTTTTTTATTGTTCTCATATTTACTCTCATCAAGCAAGTTTCGGTTGACAATTCATTTATAAGCCTTATGATATATTGATATGCTTGGTAGAAATAAGAAAATGCAGATGGTATGCAAACTACTATACCTCTTATTATTGTATTTTTCTATTTTTACTTCTCCCAAGCTCAATCTTATTCTTATTAGGTTTGATTAATTTGCACCAGAAATGCATGTTTTCGGTCTTGTGCTTAAATGAATTAGGCTTCTATCAGTTTTGTTTATTTTCTATTTTCAATATACATTTTAACCTATTTGCATAGTTCTGTGAAGCAAATTGGAATAGCAGGAAGTCAAATGTGTTAGAATTTTTAAAATATCTTCGTAATATTAAGATTACACATAGAACAGAGTATGTCAGTTGAGATTTTTTTTTTCAATTAATATTTTGGCGGGCCAACCCGCCAACCCAATAACCAATTTTGTGACTTAGCGGGTCAACCCGCCAACCCGCCTCAAAACGGAGCGGGTTGATATTTTCAACCCACATTCGATTGGCGGGTCAACCCGCCCCGCCCCGTTTTTGGCGGGTCGATGGCGGGTCGGGGCGGGTCAACCCATATTGCCACCTCTGGTTAATTACTTCCCAATATGCCAGTCATGCAAAACTTGTAAGGTCAAGTAATTAATGAGTCAATTTCCGTCGTCCGATGTTCTAGCAACAAATAATTCTCCCACGTTTATTTTCGAGTTTTTAGATATAAAAAACGAGGTTAAGCAAAGATTGTGAAACTGCCAATAATCTTATAAATTTTAAGCATTCAATTTAAAACCTAGTGTTATATGGATTTAAGAATTTAATTGAACTAATTTTTTTTTTTTTGGAGATTACAAAGAATTGAACACAACACCCTACACTACACACACCCCACACCACTAGGCTAACCCTAGTGGTGCTAATTGAACTAATTTTCATCACATGTACACTCCCCCACCCCACCCCCCTAATTTTTAGAGATTGATGTTTCTCCTATAAGAAGAAGACAACTTTAATTCCTGAAGTTACATGAAATTAAGTGGATGGGAGCATATGAAGAGTGAAGAGACAAAAAAAAATTAAAAAAATGGGATCTCATGTACTTTAATGTGTGTGTAGATTAGAAATGTGTTATTTAATATGATTATGTCAAGAAGGAAAATATTACTCACCTTTCACATGAGATATCATCTCTCACTTCGATTTCACCTTTTTCTTTTTTTCTTTTTTCTTGTAATGGTGGGACTCATCTATTTTCTCTCTACAACATAAGATAACTATCTTATGTTACATGAGACTAATAAAACCCATAAAAGAATCATATCAATTTGTGGTTATATCAATGACGATGATTTATCAGTACTCTCTATTCCTATATTTTTCTCTCATATTCCTCATCACCATTTATCTAACCATGAAAGATTATAATTATCTCATATTACATGATCATGTTAATTAAGGATCTATTTCTATTGGAAATAAAATAATAAATAAGAATGGGTAGTATAAACGATATGGTTTAAATGTCGTTTATTTCCTTTAATTTTTATGTGATAATAATTTGGCTTATTCAATACATTAGTATGTGAAATTATTTTTTCCTATCATAAATACATGAGGCTAGCTAAGCTGTAAAATTTCCAAGTGGCTGCAGCTATTAAATCCCATCACATGGTCATACATGCACGAACAGGGTGAGGGTGGCTCTCCCCAAAACCTTAGGTTGCTATAAATTGCACAGCAATTAATAAATTAATGTTCATAGTGATTCTTCTGTCTATCTGAACTTGAAAATAGAATTAGCTGAATCCAAACGGTTTACGAACCCACAACATGTGCTTCTGAAAAGCATCAGAAAGGAAGATCTTACCCGTTCATTGATTATTTCATATATTTTTGTTAAAACGCGGCTTTGTCTTTTGGAAACCTAACAGTGACTTATAACTGTGGTATGAATACTGAATAAAGCTTTGATTTTAGAGGCAGCTTTCAACCATATACTTTGAAACCAGTTGCCAGGTTCCAGGCCTTCTTTCTTTCACTATCGAACTGCAAAGTGGGTAAGAGAACTAGCATCAGTTGTGGTTTTTGTTTTTTTTTTTTTTTTGGTACATAGCATCAGTTGTGGTTTGAATCCTCCTTTCACGTGTGTATCTTAACTTCTAATTAACAGACATTCATGGCATATAGTTTGCTGAGAATTGATACACATATATGCATAAACCTCACTTGTGATAATAAATAGGAGTAAGAGAAATCCTTATACTAAGTCTTATTCTCACTTTTTTTCAAAAAATGATGTAACACTCCGTTCTAGAACCGGTTTATTAACATTGCATTATGATATTAAGCGCAGTTACAATAACATTGGTTCAATTAGAAATCCGGATAATAATTTTAATTTTCTTTTTATTTTTAACAAAGCCGAATATATAATAACCAATTGTGTGACTATAACCATATGACATTACGAAATAAATAAAACTAAGCTTAACCTCTTTTATTATTATATGAATTATTTATTTTCTCTATAGTTCTCAACTCCTACTATATTGTATATCTCTTCTATAGCTTCGAGTGGGTTCAAACCGCGCTCAAATCGGAGCTCTATAGCTCGAGTTATCCCAGTTTTACTAAATTAAGTTTTTGCTGATTTTTCGAGTAGAGCGTTTTAGCGCCCGACTTAGCGTTTAAACGCCCAGAGACAGAAATTTTGGCCTTCTCCAGGTCTTCAACGCGTTTTAGCGCTCAACTTGCGCGTTAAAACGCCCAAGGGCAGAGATCTTTCATCCATTTTACGAACCCAGCGCGTTTTAGCGCCCTAATCAGCGCTAAAACGCTCTCCAGCTAGGCAAAACATGTCCTCCTCTGTTTTTATGTAACTTCATGAGAAAACTCCTCCCTCTTTCACCATTCTCTTAACTGGCTGATAGATCATATAACTATCCAATATAGCATTCATCATAGTTTAACATAAGAAGTTATTCAATTGTACAAGAACTCATAAGATTATACTATTTCCTAGTCTTAATGACATATCCATATGGTACTCAAAATACGTATCCAATGATAACTCAATTACAATTCAAGTTTCACCGTCCTTTTCCACAAAATATATTCATCTTGACATAATTGCATGCATAATCAAAATACTAGCTAGAGCCTCCATCGAATGATACAAGTATGCAAGCATGTCAAAATATTCAAAATGTATGTGAAAGTATGCATCACTGCTCGGGCCTCCTGCCTTGAGGTTCGTCTCCTGTACTATCTATGGATCCTGAAAATAAACTCCACAAGGGGTGAGAGACAATCTCAGTAAACTCAGGGACTTTGGAGACTCCTCCAACCCTGAGCTCACTTACATGTTATACAGGCATCAAAATAGCATATAGCATACAACATATAATAATTCTACTGGCCAGAGAACCATCCAATCGAGCATAAGCACAAGACCAACCAATCTAGTTAAGCATAGGCACAAGACCATCCAATCCAGTCAAGCATAAGCGCAAGACCAACCACAAAACAAGAACGTGCATATACACCCAATTTTCACACCAATGTACACACATGCTATACAAACCACAACTATCCACATGAGTGTGGCGAAACAACAAGGGGTAAAGTCCCCAAAATCCAAGAGTTTACCTCTTTGTAGGCTTATCCTCTAGCTTCCTCTTGGCACCGTCCTCACAATATTACCAATTATAATTGTCCAACCTATAAGTCTCCAATTCCAAGAGTGAAACACTAACCCCCAATAGGTTTCTATAGTGATTTTCACATGCACTCAACCATAGGATCAATATTCCTACATCAAACAACAATGGTTCAAGCATCAACACCATTATTAATTCATAAATTTCGAAATCCCCAATTTTGCCTCAAAACCCTAACCCCGAATCATGAAATCCACTACAAACTCAAGAAAAACAACCTACAATGGTTATGGCTTACCTCAAGGCTTCGCTCAAGTTGATTTCCAACATTCCATAAGCTCAAAAATCCCATCAATGGCTACCCTCTTGAAGACCCACAAAAATGGCACAAGAATGGTGGATCTCTTGCTCTCAAATCTTAGCTTCTTAGTAGTTAAAGAGATGAAGAGTGAGGAAATGGGGTTAATAGAGGAAACCAAGTGTAATGGAAGCTTCTCCTTGACTCTTATGGTGGAGTTTAAACAAAGAGAAATGAAAGGGGAAAAGGAGATGAGGGAGACGATGGGGAAGGAGAATGGAGAGGAGAGAAGAAGCTTTTATGATAAAAGTTATATCTAAGTTATAATTATTGCAAAAACAAAAAATTTCTTCTATCAGCGATTATAACTATATATTTTGGGGAGTACATAGTTATAACATTAAAAAAAATTCTCCTTTTGGAAATTATTGGCTAACGTGAAGAGAGATAAAAAAATTCATATTATAATTATATATTTTAAAAAGTACATAATTATAATAGATGGCAGAAATTGTTTTTTTACAACGCGAGAAAAAAAACACCCATAAAAAAAATAGTTTGATGTATTGTTAGCGAAAAGGCTTTTACAGAAAAAGTGACGAGATATGCATTAATGCATGCAACCGTGCCTGCATATGCATGCATGCCCATTCATGAATGGTACGTTTACTTGAGGGTCAAATTCCCTTTTGTCAAAGTTGGTATAGGTCTATAATATGTAGGCTTAGTAAAAACGGAAATTTATTGTTCAATTGGAAGAATAACAAGCTATTCCTACTAGTTACTTGTTTTCCCTGACATAGGGGACTGTCATTACTCTCCTGTAATTTTCTTCTTATAGCTTGGAAGTCATGGTGCCTTGTCCTATCTCTATATGCTAGATCCATCTCAATGTAAAAAAAGAAGGGTACCCAAAAGCTTATCGAGAAGAGAAGAGGTAAAATGGAATATTGGAATTTGAACAAACCTTGAACTGAGGCTGTGGAGTATGGAGACAGAAAAGGGTAAATTACTTTTTGACCAACAAGATTGTTTCTTTCCATTTAACCTTTTTTGGGTTAAATTCAAACCAAACAAAAGGTGGGTTAAACGAACATTAATAACTGCATAGGGATGATACACAACGAAATGTTACAACCTCCTTAAAAAATACTTATAATAGAAAGTTTATTTTATTATTTTTAATAATATTTATAACTTTGATATTTTATTTTTGTCCTAGTTATAAAAAAATTTGAATCTGTCACCGATAAATCGGGATGTCCAACCTAATATTTGTTATGTTTCTATTGTATCTGTATGTCCTCTCTCGTATATAGGAGAGATACCTTATAGATCACCGGAGCACTGTACACTATAATAAACAGCATAGTCAAATGGTGGCTTAAGAGAGAGGGTTTAGAACCTGTGTACCTTATTGGCTTAACCATTGGCGGACCCACTTGCGGGCAAATGCCCGCAAGTGCGGTCATAAACTTTTTGATTTTAATTTTTTTTTTTTTTTTTTGTAGATTGTTATTTGTCTCTTGATTCAATATATATATTAGGAGTAAATAATTTTTTAAGTCCCTAACAAAAAACATGATTCTCAATTTAGTCCTTTACAAAAAAAAATTAGTCTCGAGGTCCTTAAAAAATTTAAAGTAGATCAATTTAATTAAAATCGTGGTCCATCACAAATTCAAAAAAGACCTACACTAGTCCCACAGAAAGACCAAAGTGGGTCCATAGGGATCAGGTGACTAATTTTTTTTTTATAATGGACTAAAGTGAGGACCAAATTTTTTTTAGGGACCAAAAAGGATATTTATTCTTATATTAGTTAGCAACGTAACAACGTACGAAGATGATTAAAACAACGCAACAACGCACATTGATTAGAAAGAAAACTTATTCTTCCTCCCTTGTCACGTACTCATTTCCACGTTCTCTTCATCCTTTGTTTCCTTTTTTATTTTTATAAAAAGAGATGATTGATTGTAGGTCTGACATTCTCAAATAAGTTAATATCTAGAGACGAGACCTTCACTGTGATTTTGTTTTACTTCTGTATAGGTAGTGTTAACTTTTTTATTCACCACTATAAAATAGAAGGGATAGGTTATTCTACTTACCATTTTTTTGCCTACCTCTACCTACCACCCTCCAACACCGTTAGATCAGAATCTTAACTAACATTTATCTTTTTCTCTCTTCTTGAGATTTTGATCTAACGGTATTGGAGAGTGGTAGGCAAAGGTAGGCAGAAAAATGTTAGGTAAAATAACATATCCCAAAATAGAATGATGATGTATGGATGTACTGGAGTATATTCTCATATTTGTTTTGAAGGATTGATAAGATTTAGGGGGAAAATAATTGGTCAAACTATTGTCTGCAGCTTGTTATGGAAGCAACTAGATTATGAGCGGGTTCAAGCGTTAATTTAAACTTTTATATAAAAAAAAAATTCTGGGGCGCTGCCCCCGAACCCCGCCACTGATTGTGCGGACATAAATTTTTTTTCCTGGGTCCGCCACTGGGCTTAACCTCTTATTTATAGATAGGTTATCTGACAAGAGTGTATTTCTGAGTCTCTTAGGAATATTGGAGTGCCAAATCCAACTGCTTAGCTGTTTGGATATGATCGTCATTTATAGAAGATTCCATTCCTTTGTCTTTTATTGAACCTTCTATAATATGAGCCTTTGTCAGGTTCAGGAGACAATTCTGTTTGAAGAGTTAAGGATTAAGACTTTAAATCTCTCTCAAAGATGGTCTCGTGTGCCAACGTCATTTGGTATCGATTATTTATTATATTATTTTTTATTTTATTAGGTTTATAAACGTTTTCAATAATATCTTAATTACTTGGGATAAAGAGAAAATTGTTTTTTAGGTGTCATTCTTTTATCTTTAGCATCGTAGTTTTTTGCAGAATCCTTCGATTATAGTTTTTTTGCTTTGCTTTTGTAGTCAAATAAAAATATTAAGGACTGTATGAATTCTCTCATTTATAATGTTTAAATATAATATAAACTTTTTACTGTCATATTAAAAATTTATAGATAAAAAATAAATATATCTTTGTTGTAATTTTATTTTATTTTGGTAAATCTTTTTTGTATTTTTTAATCTTATTCGATGTCGATATATTAAGAATTAAACAAGGACCACTTTAGCCTCTATCAGTGTACTTATAATCTGCAACACCACCATGCCATTCTTGTATATGTAGCACTAGGGGTCCCTAGCCCTACAAATCCTCCTCCACTCTCTTGAATCTTCAGAATTGTTTTCCTAAAAACTTTGGAGTTTGAGTACTTGTTTGTCAAGGGAGATAAGCAAAGAAACATAGCCAAAGCACTCTGCAATTAACATGACCATTACAAATTCATGTCCTCTGTTCTTCCTCTGTTTCATAATGCCCCTTCTTGTATTTTGTGATGTGGGAATCCATTCAGGTACCATAACAAAACCTCTTGCTTTTCTCTCTAACCCTTCCTCAGAGACTGAAGCTTACATAATATTGGCAGGTCATGAAGACACAAACGGGTCCATAACAGTGTCACTGAAAGCTGAACATGCACACCCCACGTCCAGAAAATTTTTGTTGCATAATGGTATACATTCAATTCTGTGTTCATAATATATATTTTTTCCAACTGAGATGAAAATCTTCCTTCTTTTTTGTTCCCTTTTGACTGTGCTTTTGATCATCAATAGGTTCTTGCACAAACAAAGACATAAGCATCTCACAAAGCAAAGGTTCTACATCTGGAATCCCACAGTACATTGTGCAAATTGTTAATACCTGTGTTTCTGGTTGTGCTCCTCATGACATTCACCTCCACTGTGGCTGGTTTGCTTCTGCAAGAATAATCAACCCCAAATTGTTCAAGAGGCTCTCCTATGATGATTGCTTGGTGAATGGAGGGAAGCCTTTAGCTTCTAGTGAGATCATTAGATTCACTTATTCCAATTCCTTCATGTATCCTCTTACATTCAAGTCTGCCAAGTTTTGCTGAGTTCAAAATATGTTATAGCTAAAACCAAAACACAAACTTCCAAAAATGATAACCCCACATATCCAACACCTTGTTGATGTTAACCACTGAAATTATAGAATCTGCTTTGGCTTTAGCTATGTGTCATTTTGATTTGCAAATGTACAATGATCTTACCTTCAATGATTTTACTATTATGTTATGCCTCAGACACCCCAAAACAAGGGAATCTTTATTACATAGGGGATTTTGGACTTTTCAAGTGAAAAAAAAAAAATGCTTCCATGGTTGTAGCTGCATGTTGCATGGAACTCTTGCAAGTTGGAAATCTATTGATTCTGCAGCGCATACGTTGATGGTGCAGTGTGCCTGCCTCTAATTTGTTTTACAAGGGAGCAAGCAAACATAGGGAAAGGGAGAGAGTTGTTTGTGTCTCTTGTTCTTTTCTTTTTATCGCTCTTGAAGCTTATTATGATAATAGCAGTCCTGAGAGTCAAAAGAGGTTAGACTCAAACATAGAGGAGACAATGACAACACCCTGTAAGCACAAAAAAGGTTCCAACTCTTCCCTTGCCATTTTCCTTGCTCACTGATCTTCGTTGGGAAAGGTGGTTGTGTGTCAGTATTCAACGTTTATGAATCAAACGACTTTGTAAAATACATCATTGGGTTGTGTTTTTTGCCTTTTATTTTAAAGTTAGTCTTTTTTTTTCTTTATTTATTGTTCCTCAGAGACTAAAGTAAACTAAATAAATCTGTACTAAAAAAAAAACTAAATAACAAATCACTGTTAACACAGATGATAAGGAATTTAGATCTCTTAATAAGAGGTCTCGAGTTCAAGTGCTGCGAATGTAAAAAAAGGATTTGGGAGAGTTACCCCTTTAATGGAATCTGACAAATGCTAAAACCGAATGTAGTCCGAAGAATGAATTGAGAAATTAAAAAAAAAAATAAACTAAATAGACAATGCATGCACATTTTGATTGCATCTCTAGGTCTTACTTATCGAGGCTTTGAAGGGTCAGCAATTATATATTCGTCAATTTAGCAATTACTAAATCTGTTGGGCTGAAAAGAAAAGAGACTTGATACCCTTTACTCTGTGTACCTTTGTTACAATTTATGAGCCATTGTAACTTGACAATGACATTACCTCTGGGAGAAGCAGGGGAGCAAAGAAAATAAAAATTCATGAAAGAGAAGAAAATAAAGTATCGTTTTTTGAAATATGTTTCATCCAAAGAATAATCCTAGGTTTCTTCGAAATGGCTAATAGATCCTCATGTGTTAAAATTTCAGGTTAACTCTCTTTAAATTTTTGTCATGTATATTGCTCCCCTTCTTCAAGGATTGATCTCCTATAAAGGAACAGAAAATACAAAGAGAAAAAATGTGCTCCTAAATAAAATGAATGTGTAAAGCACAAACATCATTTTCAACATGGAGCTATGTAAAGCACAAACATAATTTTCCTTCTCTTCTGCTGCATCTTTCCCTCCATCATATTTTCCTATAACTGAAGCGCAAATGCAAGTTTCTATAGCAAATCAACAAATGAGGGCGTTCAAGGCCCATTGTTTGGGTAGTATTTTCTCAAATGAAAGAGTTATCGTTCTCAGCGAACAAGTTGAATTAATTTCCTTTTTTATTCTATTCTTAAATTCTTGAAATTTAAGTATTCATTCTTTGAATCAAAGTTTTTATTAAAAATCGTATTAAACAAAAATAACAGAGGAATATCTAATCACAAATGTAACAATTATACGATACTGGAATTCTTGAATCATGGGTTTTTCCAAAGAATTTCGCATTCCTGCGTTTTTCCACTGCTAAGGCACTTTTATTACATAATTTGAACTACTAAAGCACGTTTAGCTGGAACTTCCCAGTTCCAGAATTGTTCCTCAGAAGGGTCTTTTTCCAAAGTCTTCTGATTCTTTATACAAAAATGTCAACTTCCTCCTCTGGTTATCCCTAACCTAAAGGGTTCAATTAGCAAGGAAGCATTTACTTGATTTCCCAATCATAGCTCATGCAAGAATATTCAAGAATCTTTCCCAAGATTTCTTGAAACTAAGAGAATTGCTAATCAAATGAAATAAAAAGATGCATAACAGTGTTCAGAAAAATAAAGAATCACCCAATCATCGTGAATCCCAAAAAAGGAAAGAATTAGAAACTCATATTCAGAAATATTGCAAATCTAAAAGTAAAGAAACATGCATCACCAATATTCATTAAAGAAAACTCAAAGTAAAATTACAAACCGGTTCTTCAAGAGTCAAAGTTCCTAAACTAGAGCTAGGAAGAAAACGTGCAGAAGTATGAACACAGTAGCTCGCATGCAGATCCGTGATTCCTTTCCTTGAAGGTGCGTTGTCAATGCACTTCGAGTACAAGAATTGAAGAATTAGCATCCAGCTTTCAAGGAATTTCTCAATACTCAGATTCCAAGAAAAAGATTACAAAGATTCAAAACTAAAAACTGAAACTAAAAAGTACGAAAGTTCTCTCTATATCTGGCCCTAATGACTCAGACTCCTATTTAACTAAAAACTAAAGAGCTGCCTCAAAATGCATTGCTGTCCATCCATCTTTTTGTCCATCCATCTTTTTGTCCATCCAATGGTTCAGATTTGATCTCACTTTCAAAGAGTTGATCATATGGCTCTCTAACTGCAGTAAAATAGTAAAAGAGAATAGTAAATCATCAAATTATCTCTTTCTCTCTTTTTTACCTTATTGGGCTGATTGGTACTCATTTGGCCCATTACCATGCACTAATATCCAGCCTGTTGGGAAATTCGTTCCCTCAAACTCCAATGTCAAGCGGGTCCAGGGAAGCCCGTGGCGGGGAACCACCACCAATGAGCTAAGGCTACACCAACCGTAGCAAGTGGATCCGACACCATGTCTCAACCCAAAACCTTAAGGCATTGGGTTCATGGGTTCTTTCACTTGTATACTCTTCACTTAGCTCATTACCAACCAATGTGGGACTCATCACACCTGAATATCTCAACAATCTCCCCCTCAAGTGTGAAACTCACCATTGGTATACTCCCCCTCCACCGAGTACCCGAAGCGCAAAGTACTCGACCCGCCTCCTAGCCAATCACTAGGCTAGCTCGAGCCCAATCCGGCTCTGATACCACTGTTGGGAATGGAACGAGGGAGCCCAAAACCCTTTGCAAAGGGTACATCCACCAATAGGCCAAATGACAAACCATAATAAGCGGGCCGACACCACATCTTAACCCAAAACCTTAAGGCCGTAGGTTTATGGATCTTTCACACTTATATGGTCATCACTTGGTCTATGTCTAGTCTATGTGGTACTTCTTTACAACTCATACTTGATTATTTCCAACACAGCCTTCAACTCAAATATTATAAAAACAAAGCCATTAAAATAATCATAATTTATAGCTAACACCCATTATCATCATTCATCAGGCATCAGCCACACACTTCTGAGGTTTTCCTCATAAATTATTTTCAGACGCTCACGGTTACTTCTTCCTTTAATTAAGACTTGGATCTATAACATCTTCAGAAGTCCCATTCTTTAGGCTCGGTAAAGCTCAATCTGCTAAGCCGAGTTGTTATTTTGGGCTTGCCAATTATGTGCTCAGGACAAGCCCAACTTCAGGAGATTGCAAGGAAAGGAGAGAGGGACAAACATGACATGAGTAAAGTTTATTACAGATTTTTTTTTTTGGTAATCTGTTTATTACAGAATTTAGAAGAGCAACTGTGTGTTGAAATAATTTAAAAGAGTAAGGTATATTCTCTTTACATGTAACTCCGTTGGTAAGGGGACTGAGTTCCAGGGGTTGGGCTCGTGAATTTAAAAGGCTTGGGATTCGATTCCTGCGAGGTGCATTTCAGAGTCAGTGGAGAAAACTTATTAATTATCTCCTCCAATCTACGAAAGGGCTTAGTCCCATCCCAAAGGGGTGGGAATACTTTTGGGTTTACTCAAAAAAAAAAAAAAAAATTCTTTTCTATCTGCTACACTGTTTTAAAAGAATCACATATATTTAACTTTGGAGACATTTCCCTTTGGAAAAGAAAACTTTCTCCAACCATCACATTCTCCAGTAAGTTTTCTTTTTAGTTCTTGATTGATAAAACTCAAAAGTTTGACCAAAAGGTTAGAATGATTGATTTTCGTAATCACGACTAGGTCAAAATCAGGGCTGATTGGTCATAAAGATTTGTTGTAACTATTTTTTTTTCCAGAAGTTATTTTACCAATAAAATAAAAATATAATGCACTCATATATGTTAAATCAAAGTTCACTTTTTTAGAGATCTCAAATCTCTTAATATATTCTTTCTTAAAAAATGCCACCTATTTTTTTTTCAAATTAAATTTAGATTCTTTTAAATTAATTATTCATTTTTTTTTTTATTTTTTTCAATATTTTTATATTTATATATTTATATTCTAATTAATTACATATATACTTTTTGTATTTAAAAAAATCCTCTCTTTTAATTCATGTTTTTTTTAACATTTTACCTAAATCTAAAAATAACAATACAATGTACAACTTGCTAGTTAGTATATACTTTAATGTAATGAAATTTTACACTAAACATTCATTAATACTTTGATATATCATATTTGTTACTTTTATTTTAATTAATAAAAAATAAATTAGTAACAAATAACAATGTGTCAATATATTAGTAAATATCAACATAAAACTCTTTTATATAGTAGTTGATTTGATGCTTATTAATAAGTTTATAATAATTAGAGTGTTTTATCGAGCATATTATATATATACACACACGGATGTCTGTGCGTCAATTTTATTATAATAAATATGTAAACTAATTGATTTATGTGTTTGCTTTTTATACCGTTAATATAGATAACTTATCTACAGTGAACCTAAAGTGATGTTGTTTTGAGGCGAAAATCAAGATATTTTTATAATTATAATTTATTTTAAGGTTATAATAGTCTTTTTTATTATAATTTTTTAATTTTTCAATCCAAAACGACGTCATTTTGGGAGTGAATATAAATAATTTATTTACTTTTGCTTTAGAAACTTAAAACCTTGATTTATATATGAGTTTTATAAGAGTTATGTTGTAGGAAAAATGATTGTGTTATGTTATAGAGATTCGTTTTGCGTGCTGAAGTTTTTTTTTTTTGTTGCGGGCCCCACAAAATGTTGTGTGTGTAAGAAACTTTTTATGATCATGTTAAATGATAGATGATAAACCTTTATATATATTTTTTGGAGACATTGATTTATATATTTGTTGTCTCTATTAATTTACAAAATATTTTCAGTTCTGAACCGTACATTTAAGTCTATTCAAAAGGTCCTGAATCACTCCCTCGCTCTTCCACTTTTCCCCTGCACACATGTCTCTGATATCTCTCTCACCTGAGGGACCAGCTCACTTAAGATAGGCACGTGTGCAAGGAAAAAATAATAATAAATAATAATTTATATTTTATATTTTATTTTTTAAAGACATTAATCCTAGTTTTTCCCTAATTATAAAAGGGAAATATGTCTCTCATGCAGTAGGAGAGAGAATATTTTTCCTACACATACACATACATCGAAATGCGTATCTTCTCTTTTCTTTTTTATTTATTGTGGTGGGACCCACAATATCTTTGAGTCTACCACATGAGATAAGATACCTCCTACTACGTAAGAAAATACAAACCCATTATAAAATGAAGGGTTTTATAAGAGTTATGTTGTAGGAAAAGTGATTGTGTAATGTTATAGAGATTCGTTTTGCGTGCCTTAATTTTTTATTTATTTTTTTGTTTTAAAAAGTGTGGACCCCACAAAATGTTATAAGTGTAGAAAAGTTTGTTGTGTTATGTTAAAGGATAAAACTAAAACCCTAAAATGAATATGCTCAATTTCAGGAAAAAGAAAAAATGCCCCATCAATATTCAATTAGGGGAAAAAAAAATCTGTGTTTATCTTCCGCAACAGCAACACGGTCTGCTCGCTGCTGCTGGGAATAATGGCTCTGAGATTTTTGTGCACTACAAATATTTCAAATCAAAAACATCATGGTTCTGCTAAAACTCTTGTCTGTGAATATGCAATTCCAGCGAAAGTGGAGTTGAGAAACAGCAACAAAAAGTGTCTTGAGAATGTGAAGAGCCTCGTGAACACTGTGGGGCTTCCCTCCATTTCATCAACTCCTCTTGAATCTCTCCAGAGAGGTAACTGGGTCAAGCTCATTTGTGGTGCAAGCTTTGAGGTATTACAACCCAACACTCTCTTCCTTTCTGTTTCTCGTACTTCAAATATATAACTCTCTCTCTCTTTCTCTTTCTCTCTCTCTATAGGATGTTGTTGATATAAGAAACCTTAGTCTGGTTTACACTCTTGCAGGAGGTAAGGTTTTCTACAGTTATAATTTGTTTAGTTATGCAAACTTGACCTTATAAGGAACTTAGTAAGGAATATCTTGTTAGTTAGCTAAATTGGATTATTTATATATGTTTGCAGTTGACTGCATTGACTGTGCTGCTGATGCATCGGTTGTCAGCGCTGTGAATGAAGGAATTGAAGTTGCAAGTGATATCGTATGTCTTCGCAGGCCGTGGGTTATGATCAGTGTCAATGATGATAAAGATCTTCACTTTCGTAAGGCTGGTAAGAGTGTTCCTTGTTGAGCTTAATTCTTGTATATGTTATTCTTCAGCATCAGCATAGGTCAGAAATCTTGTGATATAGTTTGATATGCAAATTCACTCTATTTTTTCTTGTCTCATGATGTATAATATATCACAGCATTTGAAGTATCATGATTAGATTCTTGGTTTCAAATAATTTTACATTTAAAACTATTGGAGGGCGATTACACTCACTCTGTTACTGCAAACAATCTTCTATTGCAGCAACCCAATTTATATGTGTAGAGCATAGTTTACATATTTGAATTGGAGTACTTCTAGTGTCTGATTTGAATAATTGGTGGTAACTTGAACAAAAGTTATGTCAGTTTTTTCAAATTTAGCCTTCTACTATGGAATAGATCATGAACCAATAATAAACTTTGATATAGAACATATGACATCCAATTTTAGGACTTGGATATGAGTCAAACAATTCTCAAATTTGTAACGTCCGACCACTTGCAAAAATCAATGACTGTCTCCACACACTAACACGAGACTTTTCAGTGTGTTTTGTCTTCACTCGCACACTTCCCGGGAAAACATCCCAGGAGGTCACTCATCCCCGAATTGCTCCAAGTCTAGCACGCTTAATTGTGGAGTTCTTCCGATCCGGGCTACCGAAAAGTAGATGCATCTTGTTAGTATAGGTAATACCAATTAATTCTTATAAGTCATTCCTAACTGTACCGTCTCATACCAGCACAGTCTCTGGAATCCCTCTCTTTCGGGTGTTGATTCGATTCATTCATGAACCCCCACTGCAAGATTTGGCATGAGCCGCTCATTGTCCGTGCCCTTTCGCACCGGTGATCACTCCCTGCCCTTGCCAGCTCTTAGGATGTTACATGCCCACCAGCTTCCGCCTGGTTCGTCCTCGAACCACACCATACTGGAAGAGAGGCCCTGCTCTGATACCACTTGTAACGCCTGACAACTTGCAAGAATCAATGACTGTCCCCACACACTAACACAAGACTTTTCAGTGTGCTTTGTCCTCACTTGCACACTTCCTGGAAAAACTTCCCAGGATGTCACCCATCCCAGAATTGCTCCAAGTCAAGCACGCTTAACTGTGGAGTTCTTCCGATCCGGGCTACCGAAAAGTAGATGCATCTTGTTAGTATAGATAGTACCAATTAGTCATTCCTAAGTGTACCGTCCCATACCAGCACAGTCTCTGGAATCCCTCTCTTTCGGGTGTTGATTCGATTCATTCATGAACCCCCAAGCTGCAAGATTTGGCATGAACCGCTCATTGTCCGTGCCTTTTCGCACCGGCGATCACTCCCTGCCCTTGCCAACTCTTGGGATGTTACAAAATTGAAGATGTCAACTTGCTAAGTATGTGGCGAGAGGCTATTAGTCAACATTGATCAAGTGACAGTTTAATCTCTACAGTCTAAAATATGAACTTGAACTCCTTGTTAAATTCATAATCATGACAATAAGGCAATGAGCATGCAGTAGTTATACTGAAAACGAACATGAATTAAAAACATTGTTCCTCTTATGCCAGGATTTTCCTTTTATATTACTTTGTTTTATTCCCATATTTCTCAATGGAGACTAGGGCTGTCATAGGTGGAATGCCATGCCACTAGGAATACATGGCCATCTTTTATGATCATCATATTAAAAAGTTTTTGTCAAATGACAAAAGTGTTAAATAATACATCTGGTTTAAGTTCGAATTTTAATAATAAAATCTTAATCTATCACTTTATGACAATTAATGAGTGTAGTAATTCCTTCTGAACAGAATTTGATCGAGAGGACTGTCCAGCAGACTGTTCACGGCCTTGTGAAAGTGTGTGCCCTGCTAACGCAATATCATTCGGGAAATCTACATTAGGAATTTCATATAATACTGAAGCTCCAAGGGTACTAAAGATTTAACTTGATTTTTTTAACTTACAAGCTGTCTTTTTCAAAATTAAAACTTGTAATGTTCAATTGGCTTGAGCATGCAGGACGGAGTCATAACGGAACGCTGCTATGGCTGTGGTCGCTGTCTTCCAGTTTGCCCCTATGATAAAATAAGTGAGATATTTTCCAGCTCCATCTGAGATAATAACTTCTTAACTCTGTCTTAATTATTTATTCCAAGTATGTTTAGTTTCTGTATACATGATATTATTCGATTGTCAACAATATATTCTGATCCTTTTGATCAGGAGAAGTAACATATGTAAGAGATGCTATTACAACTGCTGATCTTATCAAGAGAAGTGATGTTGATGCTTTGGAGATACATACAAGTGGGAGGTAATATTAATGATCAAATTGATTATATCAACTAATAATAGGGGATAACTGTAACCCCTATGGAGATATGTTTCATGATTGCTGTCTCCCTCCAGAATTTTATCATTCAAGTGATAAGGGGATGATTCTCAATTCACATATACATATAACCTGTTCACAAAGCTTTCTGTGCTTCCGGCACAGCATGACCGTGATACGATTTGTATTAGGAGGGTAAGGATATTTCTCTTGAAAGAGTATACTTTGTCATTGGAAAGTTAGTTAGGAGGAGGGTTTTGTTTGTTTAAAAGGAGGTGTTGTCCTCTATATTGGATAGACCGAATATTTTTTCTAAAGATTGGTTGAGAGTGCTCATTGAGAAGGGGAGTGCCCCTTGCCAAGAGAAGTATCTCTTGAACGTTCTTTCATCTTTGTTCATCAAAAAACAAATATTTTCCTTCCTTCAATTTTTCTTTCATTCTTCCTTTTAATTCTGCACCTTGCCAAGAGAAGTGTCTCTTGAATGTTCTTTCATCTTTGTTCATCAATAAACAAATATTTTCCTTCCATTTTCAATTTTTCTTTCATTCTGTTGGGCTTCCTCCTTCAATGCTAAGCCCAATCCCATTTGAGGGGTTTCCTAAAAACCCTAATCCTAATTTCCACCTCCTCTATATATACTCATTAGTTGAGGGTGGAGGCTAGGTCAGATTTGAGAGAACAAATTTGAGAGAATTATTTGATTGTTTGAGCAAGACTTTATGCTTTGCATTTGAGAGATCTCTAGAGAGAGTTTGAGTGAAACATCTCTAGGGTAGTTTGATTATCACCATTGTTGGAGAGGTTGAGTTAACCACCACATTGGTGTATTTGATTCGTTGTAACCATTATTTTCATAGTGGATTTCTGATCTGGACTAGGTCCCGTGGGTTTTTACTTCTTCATTCAAGAAGGTTTTCCCAAGTTAAATCTGGTTGTGTTCTTCTTCTCTCTCTCCTGTTTTCGTTTTGATTTTTCCGCTGCGCTGCCTGACCTGGTGAAGTTCAGGCTGAGGTATTGTCGAGATCCGAGATCAGGATCTTGTTGATTGACTTCCGCACAAAGGCCCCTGAGCCGAGCTTGAGGGAACCGAGTTTTCCCAACAGTGGTATCAGAGCCCGAGTTCGACGGGTTCTGAGGGAGACGAGATGGAGACCAGTGGCATAACTCATGATGGAGATATGTTCAAGTTGACCGCAGATAATTTCACATATTGGAGACCGATGATGGAAGATCATCTCTACTGCAAAGACAGATAAGGAGTGGGAGATCCTGAGCCGGAAGGCGGTAGCCACGATCAAGAAATATATTGATAAAAGCCTCTTTGAGCACGTGTCCGAATTCACGAACGCGTATGAGTTGTGGACGAAATTAGAGTCCATGATTCAGAAGAAGACTCCCAGGAACAAAGCACACCTGGTTCGCCGACTTGTTAAGCTTGAATACAAGGACGACATGAGCATGATTGAACACCTGAACACCTACAAAGGTATTGTGAATCAGCTGTCAAAGGCTGATATGAAAATTGATGAAGAATTGCAGGCATTGCTGCTGTTGAGCTCGCTGCCAGAAAGCTGGGATACTTTGGTGGTGACCCTGAATAACTCGACTCCAGATGGAAAATTGAAGATGGATGTCGTGACAGACAGCCTCCTGGGCGAAGAATCCAGGAGAAGAGAACGAGGTACTACGAGTACGTCTGAGGCCAACGTTGCTGAGAACAAAGGGAAATCTGACTCCCGTGGTAGAAGTAAGAGTCGCGGTAGAGGTCGTGACAGACGAGACAAGTCCAGAGGTCGGTCAAAGCCGAAATATGAGGTGAAGTGCTTTTACTGTGGAAAGACAGGCCATAAGAAGCCAGACTGCTGGACCCTGCAAAATGATGAGAAGAACGGTTCTGTGAAGCCGGATCAGATTATTCCCAAGAAGAGGGAAGACAAGAGCACCACTGCGGTGGCTGCCAACCCGGATGCCGAGATATTCCTCCTTGGTGAGGATAATTATTTGAATGTTGCATATGATGACTGCACCTGGATTGTTGACTCCGGTGCCTCCTTTCACGTTACTCCACACAAAGGTTTTTTCTCCTCTTTCCGAGGTGGTGATTTTGGAGTCGTGAAGATGGGAAATCAAGTGACCAACAAGATTGTTGGTGTCGGTGATGTAACTCTGACCACGGATGTCGGATGCCGACTTGTGTTGAAAGATGTGAGGCATGTTCCTGACATGCATTTGAACCTAATCTCGGTAGGCAAACTTGATGATGTCGGGTTAGTGAACTACTTCGGTAGTGTGAGATGGAAGCTGGCCAAGGGAAACTTGGTCGTGGCCCGAGGTAAGAAGGAAGGCTCCTTGTACGTGATGCAAGGAAAGATCAATGGCGGAGAAGCCAATTCTGTTCGAGATGAATCTAGCTTGGAGCTATGGCACAAGCGCCTCGGCCACATGAGCGAGAAAGGGCTACAGATCCTGAACAAGAAAGGACTATTGACCGGGTTGAAAGGCCAAGCGTTGGAGAGTTGCACGCACTGCCTAGCTGGAAAGCAGCACTGAGTTTCTTTTGTGAGACCGGATCAACCAAGAAGACGAAGGAATATTCTTGACCTCGTCAATACTGATGTTTGCTCCATGTCGGAGAAATCTCTTGGAGGAGCTCAGTACTTTGTTTCATTTATTGATGACCATTCCCGTAAAGTGTGGGTATATTTGTTGAAGTCTAAAGATCAGGTACTCCAATCATTTAAAGAATTCCATGCTATGGTTGAAAGGGAGACTGGCAAAAAATTGAAGGTGGTCCGATCTGATAATGGTGGTGAGTATTGCGGCCCATTTGATGCATACTGCAGAGCGGCCGGGATTCGACTTGAGAATACGCCCCCCAAGACACCTCAGCTGAATGGACTGACTGAGAGGATGAACAGAACATAGCATGAGCGGCCGGGATTCGACTTGAGAAGACGCCCCCCAAGACTAAAGAATGCATTTATTTTGGTTCGCCGAGATGTGAGTTCGGGTTCCGACTTTGGGATCCAATCAATAAGAAGATCGTGAGAAGCCGAGATGTGATCTTTCATGAGCATGAGAACATTCATGACATCTCGAAGCCCAAAGTCCGATTTACTGTCAGACGTGAAGAACTCATCCCTCATGTCCGAGCTGAAGCAGGGGGAGAAAATGAAGAAAATGAAGAAAATGATGATCAACAAGCTGAAGATGACCAAGACACTGAGGTCCGAGTTGATGATGAGATCCGGGATGAGAATGATGAACCGGGTTCTTATGCTGAAGAACAGCCGAGATATCCAACTTGAGAAAGAAGACCCTCTACGAGATACCCATCTGATGAATACACCGTTGTTGCTGAAGACGGTGAGCCTCAGAGTTATGATGAGGCTGTGATGAGCTCAGAGAAAGAAGAATGGAAAAAGGCAATGCAGGACGAGATGAAGTCTCTGCACGAGAATCAGACTTATGAGCTGACCGAGTTGCCTAAAGGTAGACGAGCTTTGAAAAATAAATGGGTCTACAAGATTAAGAATGAAGAGAACGGGCAAAAGCCGAGATACAAAGCCCGGATTGTAGTTAAAGGCTGCAATCAGAAGAAAGGAGTAGATTTTGAGGAGATTTTTTCTCCTGTGGTGAAAATGACCTCGGTTTGAACCGTGTTAGCCATGGCGGCTTCAATGGACCTCGAGGTAGAACAAATGGACGTGAAGATGACATTCCTTCACGGTGATTTAGAAGAAGAGATATATATGGAGCAACCTGAAGGGTTCCAAGCTCCAGACCAAGAAGACTTGGTATGTCGGTTGAAGAAGAGCCTCTATGGCTTGAAGCAAGCACCTCGGCAGTGGTACAAGAAGTTTGAATCATTCATGACTGATCATAAGTTTGAAAAGACAGATGCCGACCACTGCGTATTTGTGAAGAGGTATGAGGCCGGAGATTTTCTGATTTTGTTGTTATATGTTGACGACATGCTTATTGTAGGGAAAGATAAATCGAGGATAGCCGCCCTGAAAAAGGCGTTGAGCTCGTCCTTCGCAATGAAGGACCTCGGCCCTGCAAAGCAGATTCTCGGAATCAAGATCATCCGAGATAGACAGAAGAAGCTACTGTGGTTGAGTCAAGAGAAATATATTGAGAAGATTTTGAAGAGATTTAGCATGGACAAAGCCAAAACAGTGAGCACCCCCCTAGCCGGACACATAAAGCTGAACCAGAAGCAATGTCCGAGATCTGATGAAGACAAAGATGAAATGATGAAGGTCCCGTACCAATCCGCCGTCGGAAGCTTGATGTATGCAATGGTTTGCACTAGACCCGACTTGGCGTATGCTGTTGGAATGGTAAGCCGGTATTTGTCAAACCCCGGCAAAGAGCACTGGGAAGCAGTGAAGTGGATCTTCAAGTACCTCCGAGGTACGACCGACTTATGTCTCCGATTTGGAGAAGGCAAAGCCGAGTTGCAAGGCTACTCGGATTCTGATTTAGGGGGAGACGCCGACTCGAGGAAGTCGACTACATGATATTTGATGAGATTTGCCGGAGGAGCTGTCTCTTGGCAATCAAGACTTCAGAAATGTGTTGCACTATCGACAACTGAGGCTGAGTACATTGCCGCTACTGAGGCAAGCAAAAAGATGCTGTGGATGAAGAAGTTCCTCATGGAACTCGGCCATGATCAAGACAAGTACGAGCTGGGTTGTGACAATCAAAGCGCAATCCATCTTGCGAAGAATTCGACCTATCACTCCCGCACTAAGCATATTGGTGTGAGGTATCACTGGATCCGGGATGTGGTGGAAGGTGGTGAGCTCGAACTCGTCAAGGTGCACACTGACCAAAATTGGTCCGACATGATGACAAAGCCGGTTCCAGCAAGAAAATTTGAAGACTGCTGTGAAGGAGCCGGGTTGATGCTGAAGCCGACGCATTGAAGTCGGAGGGGGAGATTTGTTGGGCTTCCTCCTTCAATGCTAAGCCCAAGCCCATTTGAGGGGTTTCCTAAAAACCCTAACCCTAATTTCCACCTCCTCTATATATACTCATTAGTTGAGGGTGGAGGCTAGGTCAGATTTGAGAGAACAAATTTGAGAGAATTATTTGATTGTTTGAGCAAGACTTTATGCTTTGCATTTGAGAGATCTCTAGAGAGAGTTTGAGTGAAACATCTCTAGGGTAGTTTGATTATCACCATTGTTGGAGAGGTTGAGTTAACTACCACATTGGTGTATTTGATTCGTTGTAACCATTATTTTCATAGTGGATTTCTGATCTGGACTAGGTCCCGTGGGTTTTTACTTCTTCATTCAAGAATGTTTTCCCACGTTAAATCTGGTTGTGTTCTTCTTCTCTCTCTCCTGTTTTCGTTTTGATTTTTCCGCTGCGCTGCCTGACCTGGTGAAGTTCAGGCTGAGGTATTGCCGAGATCCGAGATCAGGATCTTGTTGATTGACTTCCGCACAAAGGCCCCTGAGCCGAGCTTGAGGGAACCGAGTTTTCCCAACACATTCTTCCTTTTAATTCTGCAAGTCTCAATTTTTAAGGAATTAAGAACCGTAACAGATCATGTCCTCATTGATGGCTTTTCTCAATTTCATATTTTAGAGGGAAGGGTTTTCGAAAAATTCAGCAAATTTTATGAATCGATCAAATCTCATTTTTCAATAGTTTGAGATATGTTATTTCTGTGATGTTTGTTATGTCTCTAAATCCATTTCCTCATGTGATCTATGATCCTTCTGTAGGCAGAGTACAATGTTCAAAGAACTCTGGTGTGCTCTAGGAGATTCAGTGGCAAATTTGAGGCTAATAGCCGTAAGTTGTGCCTCCGACCTGCTCCAATATTTAAAGGGGGATAATTAATATTTTTCAATAAATGCTTAGCCTCTGTGCTATTTCCATTTAAGTAAAAAAGAAAATTCTATTGAAATGATCCAGGTTAGCTTACCTAATGGCGGGGATTCAACAATATCCTCTATGAACAAAATGTTCTCTATTATTAAACCCAATCTTCGAAGCTTCAACTTATGGCAGGTGCGCTCTTTCTTTCTGTTCATCAGTTTGAACAATTTCAATATTTATAAACCAAACTTTATTCTTATATTTCTTTTAACAAATCCATCTTTTCCTTATAAAAAATCAAGTTAGATGGCCGTCCCATGAGTGGAGATATTGGGAGAGGAGCAACTAAGGAATCAATTGCCTTTGCTGTTCAATTGGCTAAAGCAAAAGAAAGACCTCCAGGTTTGTATTCATTATTCAATATGTGGTCCCTCGAAAACCTTCAAGGTTTATATCTATCCTGAGCTTGCTAATGTTTCTGTCCCTTTACATGGTAGGTTTTCTTCAACTTGCTGGTGGAACTAATGCTCACACAATTGATGGGTTAAAGAAAGAGGGACTCTTTCAAACAACATCTATTACCGGTAATGTTTCCATTTTTTTACTTTGTATATTCTCTTGTTACTCACTCTTTTTTTCATTGCATTATAAGCCTTCTTTTTGGTTAACTATTCTTAAGAGTTCTTAGATGATGAAGTGTCAACAATCAGCTCATCTGATTCATCGCATGCTTTAATTGGGGGCATAGCTTATGGCGGCTACGCACGGAAGGTAACACATAATTTATGCCCGGTTATTTACGTTTCATTCTGTTTCCATTCTTATTATGTGCATTTAGTTAAAAAGTATAGATGTTAGTCGCATCTATTTTACTCTTGCATTTATTTGGTTGGCTCTGATATCATGTAAAAAAACATTTTAACTCAAAAACTTAAACTTGTAAGTGTTAGACCTTCAATGATTTTATATTATATCTTTCTAATAATGTACATCTTTGTTCAGATTGTTGGTAGAGTATTGAGATCCATGCAATCCCAACATGGTGGTGCTGCTCAAATCGAGGATCACCCTAAGCATCTCTTGATGGCTCTTAGGGAAGCACTTGCTTTGGTTGAACCTGTTAAATGTCTATGATCCAAAACTACTACACATTCACCCTATTTGAAACTGTAGTGAATACAAAGATAGAATAGAAACTTGTTAAAAGATAATAATAATAATAATAATAATAATAATAATAATGTAACAGCCCCAAACCCTGTAGCATGATATTGTCCGCTTTGCCCTCGGGCTCACGGTTTTGTTTCTTGGGACACCCCACAAAAGGCCTCACACTAGAAGAGGTATCCACACCCTTATAAGACATGCTTCGTTCCCCTCTCCAACCGATGTGGGACATTACATCCTCCCCCACTGGGAATACATCCTCCCCCACTGGGAATACATCCTCCCCCACTGGGAATACAGCGTCCCTGTTGTACACACCGGTCCAGGGCCAGGCTCTGATACCAAATGTAACAGCCCCAAACCCTGTAGCATGATATTGTCCGCTTTGCCCTCGGGCTCACGGTTTTGTTTCTTGGGACATCCCACAAAAGGCCTCACACTAGAAGAGGTATCCACACCCTTATAAGGCATGCTTCGTTCCCCTCTCCAACCGATGTGGGACATTACATCCTCCCCCACTGGGAATACATCAGAGCAGGGCCTCTCATCCAGTACGGTGTGGTTCGAGGACGAACCAGGCGGAAGCTGGTGGGCATGTAACATCCCGGGCGCTGACGAGGGCGGGGAGTGATCGCCGGTGCGAAAGGGCATGGACAAGGAGCGGCTCCTGGCAGGCTTCTAGGGACGGGGGTACATGAATGAATCGAATCCACACCCGAAAGAGAGAGATTCCAGAGACTGTGCTGGTATGAGACGGTATAGTTGGGAATGGATTATAAGAATTAATTGGTACTACCTATACTAACAAGATGCATCTACTTTTCGGTAGCCCGGAACGGAAGAACTCCATAGTTAAGCGTGCTTGACTTGGGGCAATTCTGGGATGGGTGACCTCCCGGGAAGTTTTCCCGGGAAGTGTGCGAGTGAGGACAAAGCACGCTGAAAAGTCTCGTGTTAGTGTGTGGGGACAGTCGTTAATCCTTGCAAGTTGCCGGGCATTACAAATAATAATAATAATACCACCAGAGCACAATGTAAAGTACTTTCCATTCATGCAGCAAAATGAAAAACTGTTGTTTAACTGTTATCAGTATGAGATGACAAAATTTGTGCTTGATTGGTGGGGAGCGCCAGCCCAAAACTGCAGAGCAAGATAGCATAAGATGCATGAGTGAATTCAAAGTGCAAACACTTATTCTCCTATAGGTTTCTCATCTTGTCCCAGAAATACATGGTTTAAACGTGTAGGTTGTTGGAAATCGACAATTTACATAGTACACAAATCGCAAATGAAAAGAGAAAGAGAGAGAGAATTGACATGGTGATTTATTTTGGTTCACCCAACGTAGGTTATGTTGTTTAAAAGACAGTGAGTGATAATTAAAATCACTAATAGAATTGAACTGGTGTATGAAGCAGATGAGAATACTAATCATGAACACAATGCAATGGATAAAATAAAGAACAAACTTACAGTATGTTAGAGTACAGAACAAAATGAACAATGTATGCAGGATAGTATAAGAAATCCAAGCTCAATAAAAAGTGTCTCCTTAAGACATTTTGTTTCCTCACTGACGCCGAAGGTTGATGAATACTTGTCTCCTAGGTTAGAACGGATTGCGTCTGAAGAATGATGACACTATCAGTCAACAGTCTGAATGAACACAACAAGATACCAGAGAAATTACACCAGAAAAAATGGAAGGAAGCATGCAAAATCGGATGAAGGAAAAATTCCTGCAGAGTAACAGTGTAGAAAATCGGATAAAATTTCTGAAGGGGTCAGGGTCTATATATAGACACTGACCGGTCACGATGAACTGCCGTGACTGACGGCTGCGAATGGGTATAACCGATGACCGGTTCGGTTCAATATTGAATGAACGTGTCGGTTCGAACCGAAAAGGAAGAACCGGTTCGGTTTAAAACGTTCAAAAAATCGGCGGGAAGAAACGTTTGGTTTGAAGAATCTGGTGGAAAGCAACGGATAGGGACAAGGGTATTTTTGGACAAAAAATTAATAAAATAATTTTTATTTCACACACACGTACGAGTCGAGCCGGCCGGCCAGATGACGACGCGCGTGTGGTTGACCAAAGGCCATCTAGCCCCTCTCCCCTCCACAAAAGTGTAGTGCCCCAATTTAGAAGTGTGAGGTGGGAGTTTATATACCCTCTCACCTCTTCTTAGTTATCCAATGTGGGACTTCTTAAAACTCACCTAACCCTTCAACTTCCCTCTTCTCTTTTCTTTTCTTCCTAAACCCATTTCTTATTCATAACTCATAGGATGTATATACAAATTTCCAACGTCCAAATTGTCTGTATTATTTTCATCTCATCGTCACTCATTACAAGTCACTCGGTTTACAATGAGAATATACATAAGATTAGAAAATCCTAAAAGTAGCTATTTATGGGTCCAAGCTCAAACTTTTTATTAAGAAAAAGAAAAACTATAATAAATCAGAGGCCCACAATAGTACCTAGTCTTTACAGGCCTGAGAGTGCTGCTCTCGGACCTCTGCTGCTCACCTGGGAGCGGGACTCCAGTTGCCTTTTGTCTTTCTGCTGATCCTAACAATAAAAATTCTCATCAACATTTAAAGTATTAGCCATACCCAACATAGACTAGTTTGGGGTCCGAGGGGATGGTGGAGTTCTTGGCTTCTTGCACTGAGACGAGGGATATATGGCCCTATGGTGGGCCTGAGTGAAATACAAATATAATGTAATTGTGACAAAGCAAATCAAACTCAAAATAGCCTAAAAGGGCCCGTTTGGTACGCTGGATTTTTAGGGATTTTTGAGAAACTGAATTTTTCTAAATTTTTAATTTTCAAATATTATCATAAACTGAATGTAAAAATCATATTTTTGAAAATTGAGATTCTCGGACAAAAGAATTTTTTTCCTCTACCAAACGCCCCCTAAAAGTATGAAAAATTTGCAATGAACTTATAATTCCCACAATTTGGAGTAATTATTTGTTAGGTACAATTTATCATAAATTCTTAAATCATTATTTGGCATGTATAATGTTATGGGGCTATGACATTTAACAAGAACAGACGTGGCCTGGGTATAAACCAAAAGGATTAAATAACAAATTAACAATGAATAAAGAAAAATAGAAATCATCACAAATTTATCACTTCACCCTTTTACAATTCTTTTGCCGAAACTGAGCTTAGAAGGCATATCGGTTTTCAAGGTACTCAATATCACTATTCTATTTTTTAATAGAAAAAGACGATTGGTGGGACTTCCAATTTTTTAATTTTAATTTTTTTTTCACGGTCTCCTTTAGGATGTTTACGACAACAGTAATTTATATAATTAAAAACCTTCACAATTTTTTGGTTAAAAAAAAATTGTTTCGTTCTGCAAGCTTTTTTTTCCATTAAATTAAAATGTGATAAATGTTATTGTATATGGTCTGATTTTTATCAAATTAAATTGATTGGATTTGGTACCTGCACATTTATATTTCAGAGAAAAATATAAAAAAAGAATTCTTCATAAAAGTAATTTTAGTTTAAATTACTAATTATTTACACAATTAACAATTGAAAAATGGTTATTATTAATAACTAATTAAATATCATAAATGATTTTAAATTTTTAAAATAAAAAATATTTGAAACAATTTTTTTTTCTATTCTTCTATGCATAACCCTACACATGTTCTAATCTTTTAAAGCTAAGATCAAGAGAAGAAACTTAAAACCACTTGTTTATTGCTTTGATAGTAGATCTAATGTTTCATTGAACACGAGAGGGGTTCCTCGTGTCCCATGCTATGCATATTTTACTTAAAAATCAGTTTCCATCGCTTTGCGGACATTGACAATGCATGCTTTCAATAATTTTTCCTCATAGATTACAATACCACGTTGCTATTTTCATAATTTTGTTGTCACGTTCAGGGCATATCAATTCCAATCATTACAGAATGGGACATTTAACAAAGATAATGCAAAGAGTAACTGAGAAACATATATTTGTCATTTGGACATAGCTATATTCTAGGAATTGTTACCAGGAATGAATGCACGTGGCCTCAACAGGTTGTTTCTCAAATCAAATATAACAACTAAATGTCAAAAAAGTAAATAAAAACTCAAACTTAATTAGACAAGTCACGGATGATTCGTAAACGAGATTAGTGTTTTTAGAAGATACTACACATATTTTTAATGAGATTTATATATTTTTTTCTATTTTCTTTTCGTATGGACTCATGATCTCCACACACTTTTATATATGTAAAAAATAAAGTTATCTGCTATAACATGACAAATATTAATCCTTTCATAAATATACGTAAATAATTTGTATCAAAAAGTTCACTTACACACGCACATATATCATATATCTGTGTTAAAATGTTATTGTTAATAAGATCAAGATCAGGATCATTTTATACCGGTGTAAGATTAATAAGTCTTACACCACATCTCAACCGTTGATTTTTGTGTATCTAACGATTATAATTTAGGAAGTCATATGAATTAATTAATCATTAATTATATTATATATACCAACCGATGATTTTCATTTATCAACGATTGAGATGTGATATAAGACTTGTTAGTCTTACACTGATATAAAAAGAACCTGCCCCTTGTTAATATAATTTATAAAAATATTACACAATTTTTCGTACTTAAATAAATTTTAGTACTATATTCATTAATGTGTATAAATCATGATCTTAATATTATGAGTTAATCTAATATTTTTCTTTTACAAATGTTAAATAGATAATATCATTAATACAAAATAATACATGCATCACCGTGCCCTACAAAATAATATTTTTCTTTTACAAATGTTTAGCTTGAGTTTCACGAGGACTCATTTTTGTCCGTTATCGGAGAAGTTGCATAAAGTTTACTCAAATGTAAAGGGACAAGGGTAATACGTCTCTCTAAGTTACAGGAAATAAATAAATAAAAAAATCTGCAAAGACAATAAAAGGCATGGGTCCGGCCGGCCGTAATATAAGGAGAGAAAAAGAAAAAATATGAAATGTATTTGTCATGTTAAATAACAAATGAATAGTTATTATGTTAAAAAAAAGACAAGATAAATTCATTGAATAATGTGTCCTTTCACTTTTTTAATATTATATAATTTGTCTTTTTCTTGACAAATGCATTTTTAAAAAAAATATCAATCGCCCCACATCATGTATTGTCTCAGCTTGAGAACCTTTTTTTTACTTGGGAGATATATATTACCCATAAATAATATAACATGTGCATATATTTACGAACAATAATATAAGAGTTCGCTTTTTTTGGTGTTACTGCAGATAATCTGCAGTAAATCTAATATGACGTCACTTTAAGACGAAAATCATGATATTTTTATAATTTTAATTTATTTCAGCGTTATAATAGTCTTTATATTTATAATTTTTTAAGATTTCAATACCAAAACGATGTCGTTTTGAAAATAAATGCAGATAACTTATCTGCAATAACTGCAGAAATATTTTTCCCATAATATAAGGTGCATATTTTTTATATACAAAATAGTTAAATTAACAGTTAAAATGAGAAAATAAATTATTTTTATAAAATATATCTTTAACATAATTTTTATATATATATATGGGCTTATCATTTCTCAAGCTGTCAGAGATAACTTTATTTCCGGCTACTAAATTATAACCGTGCAAAGATGGATCAATAGTGATAAAGGAAGAGAGAGAAAAAGGAAATCATAACCATTCAAAGATGAATCAATTAATATAAAAAAATAAATAAACAAAACGACGTAGTTTTAAGGAGACCGAAGATAAATTTATCTCAAGTTGTCGGCATATATATATATATATATATATATATATATCAATTATTTATAATTTTTATGATAAATAGCAGTTGAGAATTTCTCACTTTTTTTTATCAAATGCATTATGAATATTGAATAACAGAACAATCTTATCTCTCTAGAGAAATTAGTCATTGGGAATTGAGATTGTATTTTAATGTAAAATAGTATCCAATATTTCGCTGTTAAAGAGTAGCCACATGTGCGTGGCTTGTTAAAACGTCTTTTCAGATTCTATTCCAGTATGTATTAAAATTTTCGTTTTCATATTTAGAATCAATCAATTTTATTCATTACATTTTTTATTTTTTAAAAGTTTATTTTATTTACTATCAAATTAATTTTAAAAACTTCAAATTTTATCCAAACAACACAAATTATTGCGTAAACTAATTGTTTTTAACGCAAACGTCGATTGCATATGTCCAAACAAACACTTATTTTGTTCAGTTTTGAATCATTTTATTTAATTTTGACTGCAACAACAAATCACCTAAATGGCAATAACTTTTGACACTTTTTAAAAATATTTTTTATCATTATTAGATAAAATCTCATACTAATTTCATTCAATAACCTAAGTCCATTATCTATTAACCAACTTAGCATAAATTTTCATTTATTAGATAAAAGGAAAAACAATTTTCATGTCGCAGGGAAATTATTTTTTTCTATCCGTGATCTTTCGATTTTTTTACAATATTTTTTTTAATTTTGTAATAGATATCCTACATAAGAAAATAGAAACCCTTAAATAAAATAATAGTAAAAAAAAGTGTATATACTAATATAGCACTCTTATTTAATTTTTGATACGGGAAAACTAATTGCGGTTTTGAGTTAGATATAGTCTATTGGTTTTACCCGCATAATATTTTTTCCTTTCTGGCTGCAAACAGCATTGATAACAAGACACCATAATTTGACTTGAAGTTCACGCTAGCAACAACGTTTGGGGCCATAGCTATCAAGATTGATTTTTATGGCTCAACATACTTTCATTCCCTACAATTGAAGTCAAGCATAGTTCCTCCACAACAACTTCTTCCCTTTCAAGCATTCAAATATAAAACTAATAATAAAGTTTGATTTTAGACTTTACCGAAGACTGGAAGCTGTATCCTGAAAAATAATGATAACCTTAACGTACAAAGCACGCAAAGGTGGTGTTTGGTTGAGAGCTTTTCAGCGAATATCTATGTTTCTGAAGTATGGCTTTTAGAAACACCATGTTTGTTAAGACTAGTTTGGCCTTATTGGATTAGAAACATTCCCCTTCGTAGTTGAGACTTTGTGGGGTTAGGTGGAGTCAGATTTTGCTCGTATATCAACATTGTTTTACTGGTGTTATTTATACTTTATTATTATATATGTTACTTGCGCTGGACATTTTTTATGATAGATAAGATGTAGTAGAATATATTCAAAAAAGTATATCATAAATAATAATAAATTTGTCAACAACTTTGTAGTTCAATTGGCACTAATCTAAATCTTTAAAACTTAAGTGCGATATTGGAGCGAAAAGTTTTTTTTTTTTTTTTACCGTAGTACTGGCACTAGTTTAAATCTTCTTAAAGATATAAGTAACATTAACTTATTATTTAAAGATTGAACTTGGGTGGCCTCTTAGTGAGACCTAAGGGAAAGAAGGAGAAACGAAAGAAAAAAGGTTGGAAAGTAATAGAAAAAAATCCAAGCCTCCTCAAACTTCTCAGGTGAGTTTTGGAAGGACAAAAAAAGGAGGTTAAAATTTTATTTTTAAACTAAGAAAATTATATAATATTTATAAAAATTATGTAAAATCATTAGATAGTTTTATAGTAATATATCATTTTTTATTTAAAAAAATTATTGTTTATTTTTTAAACTGTTTGTCATGTCCTCAACTCATACTTTAAAAAAAATAAATAATAAAGACCCTACTTTGATAAAAAAAA